GGAGGTGTCAGAAAATTTTAAATAACCAACAATGGACTCATTTTCAAAAATAGGGGGAAAATGTAGATTTGAGAAACTATAGAATTTGAGGTTGATATAAGTCCAACTTAAAATTCTAGAAAAAGCCATTCAGGATAGTTTATGGGCAAAGATAAAAGAAAAAGATGGTCACTAGGAGCCTGTCTGTGTTCACTATGGGTAAGCCTTGCTGAACTAATCTTACTTCTTTCTTAATCAGATTACGGGAAGAGAAAATTTGGGGAAAGTCAGAGACATGTTGTATCTTGATTTCAGCCAACACTTTGTCAGACTTGCAGAATATCCTTATAAGCAATCTGAAAAAATATGAGCTAGATGACATTTCCACTAAATATGTTCTCAGACGCTTGCCTCAAAACATGTAGACCTATTTTGTTTGTCCATTCATCTGTTGATGGACTATAACTCAGTAATAAAAAGAAAATCAGTTACTGATACATGCTACAACATGGATGAAACTTGAAAACATCATGAAATATGGGTGAAATAAGTCAGTCACAAAAGGACAAATATTGTATGATTCTGTTGTTGTTATGTGCCATGGAGTCGGCCCCGACTCATAGCAACCCCTCCTTGGGTTTCCCAGGCAGTATCACTACGGAAGTAGGATTGCCCAACCTTCCTTCCGAGGAGTGGCTGGTGGGTTTGAACTGCCAGCCTTCTGGTTAGCAGTCAAGTGCTTTAGCCACTGTGCTACCAGAGCTCCTGTATGATTCTATGTACATGAAATATCAAGAATAGGAAAGTGTGTAATGACTAAAGTTTATTAGCAGTTACCAGGAGGGGGGACTCAATGCTTAGCAGATACTGAGCTTCTTTTAAGGGTGATGGAAAAATTTGGGAATGGATAAGGGTAATGGTTGCACAACATGATGAAAATAATTAACGTCACTGGACTGTATGTGAGAAAATTGTTGAAATGGCACATGTTTTGTTACATATCTATTGTTGTTGTTAGATTCTGTTGAGTTGATTTTGACTCATAGTAACCCCACGTGACAGAGGAGAACTTCTCCATAGGCTTTCCTAGGCTCCACTTTATGGGAGGAGCTCTGATGGCATAGTGCCTAAGGCATTTGACTGCTAACCAGAAGGCTGGCTGTTCAAACCCACCAGCCACTCCTCAGAAAGAAGATTGGGCAATCCACATTCATAGTGATACCACCTTGGAAACCCAAGGAGAGGTTGCTATGAGTCAGATCCAACTCGACAGCAGTGAGTTTGGTTTTTGGTTTATAATCTTCATGGGAGAAGATTGTCAGGTCTTTGCTCTTGTGGAGACACTGGGTAGGTTCAAACAGCCAACCTTTTGGATAGCAACCAAGTGCTTAATTGTTGAACCACCTAGGCTCCTTACATATATCTTTACCACAATAAAAATACATTTAAAAAATAAAAGCAGCCAGTGAAATTAAAAAAAAAAAAAAATCAGTTGGGCTCTTATGGCATAAAGACATAGATGAGATTTGACATTTGTAAATGATACAAAGGGATAACAAACATTTTGGGTGACTGAATCAAGATTCATAAAGATATTTTGATATTCAAAGTAAGTCAAACCAACAAGATGATATTTTAAAAGAACCAACTTAAAACCATCACTTTAGGGATATGTGTGTTTGTGTGTATGTGTGTTCCCATCTCTGGAACACAAAAGGTAAGACATCTAGGTTTCATTTGAGAGACTAAGGCTGAGCTGATGGTATTTTCACATAGACCTCACATAGACCTGGAGTCCTGGAAGCTACCAAAGACAAGGAAACCTTGTCTTTGTTTACACAACAAGCAAAGAGTCCAAAGGGGATTCTGAATTGTGGTCAAGAAGAAAAGCAGTTCAATACCAGAGCAATGGCACTGAGCATCAGATAAATGAGAGCCACAGACTATCAACAGAAAGATAATTCAGGAGCTAAAGAAGGGAAGAGCAGATATAAGTCAGGAAACCCACTGTGAGACTGGTTAAAACTAACTGACCAGAACAAAGCCTGATAGTGATATCAGCAGCTGGAGACTTGTTTGCTAGTTGTTCTGTGGGACCTGGGACCAAGTGGGCTTTGCCTTGAGTCAGGCAGGACTGGACTAGGGGCTGGATAGCCATTTGTCTGGGAAATAAGATTTGGGATTTATGCTGAATATCTTCCTTTTTTTTTTTCCAGCTCTACTCTCCACCCTTCTCTATCTTGTACTGAACCCAGGAGGCTGATCTTCCTGTCCTACATCATGGAATCCATTGCCTTCTGGCTCCAATTGAGTTTAGATAACAAAATATGCCAATTAGAGATTAAAGAGAGAGAGGTTATTCCCCCTGCCTCCCTGTAGAGTCATCTCAGGTTTTATGCATTTCTTGTCTGAAGGTCCCAGCTCCTCTTAAGGTGGCCCTGCCTGCATACTTCTCTCTTCTGAGTTCCTGTAACTGCTCCCTTCCCTCCTGCTTCCAAGCCTAGAGATGGTAACAGCTCCAGAGTTACGAGCCCTGGGGTACTGCACTATCGTTTGTGGTTCCCCTACCTCTTACTTGTTGTTGTGTGCCTTGGAGTCTATTCTGACTCAAGGCAATGCTGTAAGATAGAGTAGAACTTCCTCATAGGGTTTCCTAAGCTGTAATCTTTATGGGAACCAATCACCAGGTCTTTTCTCCACAGAGCTGCTGGGTGGGTTCAAACCACCAACCGTTGGCTTAGCAGTTGCGTGTTTAACCATTGCACCACAAGGGCTCCTTACATCTTTCCTGCACTTTATTAAAAAGTGAAACTGAAACATTATTAAACTCTCTTTGATTTTTCCTAATGTGAATGCGTCATCTGTTTCTTGGTTGGACCCCAGATGGTATAGCATTCAGCATTAAGTGAGAATTTGAACTAGATTATTTTTAAGAATGGTTATGTTTCTATGGTTCTGGATTTCTTATCATTAACCTTATATTTTTGCATACCCAAGAGTGATAAGAATAGCATTTTGCACCCAAGAGCCCATAAATATTTTTGTAGTGAATATGAAGTTCACCTAGGGCTTTGGGATCCAGTTTAGCCACATAGTTTATCATTTTTATATGACATTAATGTTTTCAGGATGTAGTGCAGTATTTTTCAGTTACTCTCCCCATGTCTGTGAAGTCAGCTAACATCTTTACTGCTATTATATAAGAGGTAAGAGAAGCTTAAATTGGCCAAGCAACTATTGCTGACAACTTTGGCATGTTCATAAAACAGCCATATTTGATCTTAAATACGTTATATATATATAGAGAGAGAGAGAGAGAGAGAGAGAGAGAAGCTTTTAAAACACACTGTGACACTTTCTGGGAAGACTGAATAATTGAGACTAAATGTAATGATGTTTCAAGGATGTCCAACCTCAAGAGAAAACTGAGGAGACTGCATTGTCTACATGACTGTGGACATAACTTCTGAGTCTGACATTTCAGAGAAGACATGTCTTCTCATGTCAAGATCATTTGTATTTGATCCCAAAAAGAGAATTTTCTTGTGTTGGTTGCTTGGTTTGACTTTGAGAATATCTTACTTCTAAGGAGTTGTTATCTTTTAGAGATACACAGTGAAGCATTTATGAATGAAATGATATGCCTGGACTTTGCTTCACAATAATAACAGGTGTGGGGGAGTGGATGGGAAAGGAGAGAAAACAAGATCAGCCAAGAGTTGATAACTGTTTAAGCTGTGTGATGGATACATGGAGGTACATTTACAATCCTCTCTACTTTTGTGTATTTTGGAATTTTTCATATTAAAAAGTAAATGAATAAAGAATTAAATAAGTTATTTATTGATACAGGAAAATTCCTTTATTGTTGCATGACGCCACTGAGGTCATCAAGGAGCTCTGTGTGTAGGTTTCAGAAATGTAACAACAGAAACTTATTAACATGAAATGTAAATAAAGAATGTTATTTTTATGACAGCTTAACCAAACTAAAGGAGCTCTGCTGGTGTAGTGCCTAAGGCATTTGACTGTCAACCAGAGGCTGGCAGTTCAAAACTACCATCCACTTGGTGGAAGGAAGACTGGGCAATCTACTTCCATGAAGATTTACTGCCATAGAAACCCAAAGGGGGTTGCTATGAGTTGGAATCGAATCGATGGCCTTGAGTTTGGGTTTTTTTGGTTTAACAACACTAAGCCCACTGGAAAACATCTAGATGATATTGTTCAGAATGTACATTTAGAATATTCTTGCATTAATTCAGAAGTGAAGTCACACATAAGTCCTACAGTTATGTTTAAAATGGTATGATATGTGAAATTTGCTTAGAAGTAATTTGGTGTGAAGGAAAATTGGGTGAGATTATAAATTGGCCATGAGCTAATCTTTGATGAATTTGGGGGATGAAGACATCAAGGTTCATTATACTACTATTTCTACTTTTATATATGTTTTAAGTTTTCTATGAACAATTTGTGTGTGTGTGTGTGATTTGGGTGAAAATGTACAGAGCAAATTCACTTTCTGTACAGCAGTTCACATATGCTTTGTCTCATGACATTGACCACAATTTACCACAATGCAACAGCTCCCCTCCCACTTCCTCCCGACAATTACCTCTTCCCTTGTCTATCCCTCCATGCCCTTCTGCCCCCTGAGCTGTCTCCTGGTACATAAGCAGCCCTTCTTTCTCCCAAGATTGTTCTCTTCAAGGAGTGTATCTACCTCAGGTAAATGTTCAACTCATATGCCTGCCTGTCTTTTGCTTGGCTGGAAGCCATAAGTATGGGTTCAATTCTAGACCTGACGGGCTAGGGTCCATAGTCTCACTGGTGGAACAAATTTTTAAAAAATAAAATATATACTGCTTATCTAAAATGTGACCATATTACATTAAGAAAATATTAACGTTTGTGGTTTTATAAAATGTAATATTATTATTTCTCTTTCACCCTCTTATATTCTGTATTTTCTAATATATTACTATTTGTCTGTTTTTTCTTCTTCCCCTACCCCTTAGTTTTGCCTGTTATATGGAACCAAGCTGGTGTTCCAGGAGCGAGCCTGGTATTTAGAACATAAATACTTGACCCCTAAAGCCAGCATGCAGATCAGGAGTCAGGTAAGTGTCCCTGGTGTGCAGGAAAAAAACACTTGTGCATCAGTTGTCGGCACTTTGCTTTCTTAGAAAACAGTCCTGTCAATCTTTTATCAGTTTCCACCCATGGATTTTCCTACCTCTAGGATTTACATCCATGTTTTTCTTTGCCTACCATGATCACATTACACTTTTAGAGTCCAAGTGACAAGGAAACAATTCACTGAGCATGAACTTTCTAACATGAATCCTTCTCCAGAGGAGAGGAAGGAATCACCAGTTCTTTTCCTGAATTGGCAGGGAAAAAATTGTATTAAGTGATTTTCATGTTTCCACTTCTTATCAAAACCTATTAACCCATTCTGCATTTCAGAAACAAAGACCTGTGGTATTTTTATGTCAATGGTAGCAGTGAGAATTCAATATGATAGCTATAAAACTGCTGGAAATGAAGGTCAAACCAATAAATTGCCTGCCAAAATGCTATTCTAAAGAAAAAGAATTTTTTAAAAAAGTATAATCATCAATAATACATAATTTCTGACAACCTCCTCTTTTCCAGGTCTTCTGCTAGATACTGAAACACAAGCACATATATGACTCAGTCTTTGGATTCAAGGGAGCTCATTATATCTGGGGACACAAAAGTGACATTAGAAACACAAATAATGGCACAGGGGAGAGTAAGCATTCCATTGAACTTGACAATAAGAATCAGTTCAGAATTTAGAGGACAGAGATCATTGAGGGTGAATGAGGTCATTCTTGGGCTAGACCTTCAAGAGTAGAAAATTAAGACAAAGTGGAGGTGGTGGTTCGGTTGGAAATGATGGAAGGCAATTGAGCCCTCAGACAGGGTTGATGGAATGAGCAAAATCAAAGAAGCAAGAGCACATAGGACAGACATAAAGAAAGAGTGAAAATAGGTACAGTTACAACAACAACAACAACAGAAAAAAAAAAAGAGTAGTGGCTGATGCTGCTTATGTACAATCAAATACCTCATGGGATTTGATTCCTTGGTTTGGATGTTTAGGACCATTTAATTCCATTTAATTCATTTAATTGGCCTAATAATGTGCTTAGTGCTTCCGTTCAACCTCCTAGTTCATTACATAGTGCCTGGGCTCTGGAAAGCTTGCAAGTGGTCATCCAAGGCACAAAAATTGGTCTCTGTTTGCCTGGAGCAACAGAGGAAGAGAAGAGTCAAGAAGAGGAGGATGATATGTAATGTGTGCCTAGTTGCCTCCATGAACAAGCTGCCTCCTTTGCCATGAGACCAGAAGAACTGGATGGTGCAAGGCTACCATTACTGAACATTTGGATTAAAGATTCCATAGAAGAATGCTGATCAAAAGGGGGAAAATATAAAACAGAATTCCAGATTCTCATGGACTTTAGACTTCTGAAGCAATGATGAGTAGATGACCCCTGAAACTATTGCCTTGAGATGATTTTTAAATCTTAAACCAAAAATATCCCCTGAAATCTTCTTAAAACCAAACAACAGTTTAGCTTAATGAGTGGAAGGGTCTGCCTTGAGCATTATGCTCTTTTAAGAACTATCTATACGGGATCAAGTTGACAACAGCAACTCGAAAGATTAGATGAGAACCTTAGAGAGCAGTGAGGATATGTTAATGGGGAAGGGACAACTTCAAAAAGAAGGGTGAAAATGATTGCATAACATGAAGAATGTAATCAATATCATTAAAATGTACACGTGTGTCAGTAAAATGACCATGTGGAAAGTGTTGAATTGGTGTATGTTTTCCTGTGTATATTCTCAACAACAACAACAAGATACACAAAATTTAGGGGGAAAAAATACTCAGGAAGAAGACTCCATGTGTCCCCATATGACATAAAATATTGTCATTTTGAATACAGGAATTTAGGACAAACTGTGAGGGATGTAGAGTTCTTGACAGTGTCCTGAAGGACCAAGTCCTCCAGCATGATCCTGCCTCTGGAAAAGGTAATTTCAGGATGCTTGCAAAAGAAACTCAGATGACTCTGGGGTGCACTTTGCTTGCCATACAAGAAGACAGACATTTCTCCTTGCTCCCAAAGGGTCATAACCTATGCCCTCAGAGTCTAGATTCAAATCCTTTCACTAAGCAGACTTAATTGTAAAAGTTACCATTCATAACCTTATAATTCTGATCCTTCTAGACTGTGTCAAAACAGGAAAAAAATAACAAACAGCAATGTGTGGCATTCAACACAGACAAAGTTGGATGTATTTTGAATGTGGTGGTTTGCTGGACCAGCTTCTTAAAACCTTCTGTGATACTCATTATAAATGCCTCCTCCTTCTTCCTTTTCTGACTCCCTACCCTCAATCTAGGAGCTCTGGTAGCATAGTGCCTAAGGCACTTGACTGCTAACCAGAAGGCTGGCGGTTCAAACCCACCAGCCACTCCTCGGAAGGAAGGTTGGGCATTCCTACTTCCGTAGTGATACTGCCTCAGAAACCCAAGGAGGGGTCGCTATGAATGGGGCCGACTTGATGGCAAATAACAACAACAACAAACCCTCAATCTGGATATGGCTTATTAAGTATTGAATTGTGTCCTGCAAAAATAATGTGTTGTAAAATCCTGTAGTGGTTATAATCTCATTTGGCAGTGGGTTTTCTTTGTTATGTAAATGTGACAGTGTTAGTGTAGGTATGTCTTAAATCAATATCTTTTGAGATGCAAAGGATTAAACAACCAAGCAAGAGAGCAGACATGGGGGAATAGAGATACCAAGCCACAAGCCATGTGAAGATTGCTAAGAAGCAGAAACTCAAAAGAAACAAGAACAAAAAGAGAAAGCCTTCCCCTAAGCCGCTACCCTGAGTTAGGAATTCTGGCCTCCTAAACTGTGAGAAAATACATTTCTTTTTGAAGAAAGCAAGAAAGAAACAGTGAGAAGAACAGAAGATCAGTTTGGCTGAAGTCTCAGGTGGTATAAAAACCTGAAGAAGTCTGTGGGAGCCAGAATATGACAGACCCTAAAGAACCCTGAATAATGTTCTGCCTTTTCAGAAGAACTGAGATTAAGGAGAAAAGTTTATGTAAGGATGTTTTAGTTATCTATTGCTGTGTAACAAACAAGCCCCCCCAAACTTAGTGTTTTAAAATAACAACCATTTACAGGCATACTTTGGAGATATTGTGGGTTTATTCTAGACCACTGCAATAAAGAATATATTGCAATAAAGCAAGTTACCCAATTGTTTTGGTTTCTCAGTGCATATAAAAGTTACAATTTTATTACACTATAGTCTATTAAGGGTGCAATAGCATTATGAAAAAGTTTGAAATATTGTGACAGTTACCAAAAAGTGACACAGAGACACAAAGTGAACACATGCTATCATGGAAAAAAAAAGGCACTGATAGATGTGCTCAACACATGGTTGCAACAAGCCTTCAATTTCTAAAAAACGCAGTATCTGTGAAGTGCAATTAGAGTGAAGCTTATTAAGAAGAGGTTGTTGTTGTTGTTGTTGTTGTTGTTATGTGCCGTCGAGTCGGCCCCGACTCATAGCGACCCCTCCTTGGGTTTCCGAGGCAGTATCACTACGGAAGTAGGATTGCCCAACCTTCCTTCCGAGGAGTGGCTGGTGGGTTTGAACCGCCAGCCTTCTGGTTAGCAGTCAAGTGCTTTAGCCACTATGCTACCAGAGCTCCTATTTGTAAGATTGGGTCTGGTGAAAAACTTTAATTCTTCTCTTGATGTCTTTAAAACATCTGAGGTAAATATTTTCCTATTATTGCTTTCAGCCAAGATTCATCTGACATCAGCAGTGATATCCCTCATTCCACATCCTCTTCTGAAACTGCCTTGAGGCCCTTGTTATGAACTGCTGCAACCATTTTGAATTATCTTTAGCAAAATTTCACTAGCTTGTAATATTACTGATATTGTTTGATATTTTCTGCTTTGCTTTTGTTCACTTTTCTTTGGAATGGGCACAGATACAGATCTCTTCCAGTCAGTTGGCCAGGTAGCTGTTCTGCAGTTCTCTTAGTGTAAACAAGTGAGTGCTTCCAGCATTGCATCTATTTGTTGAAACATCTCAATTGGTATTGCATCAATTCCCAGAGCCTTGTTTTTTCACCAGTGACTTCAGTGCAGCTTGGACTTCTTCCTTCAATACCATTAGTTCTTGATCATATGCCAGCTCCTGAAATGGTTGAATATCAACCAGTTCTTCTTAGTACAATGGCTATGTATATTATCTCCATCTTCTTTTGATACTTCCTTCATCGTTTAATATTTTGCCCATAGAATCTTTCAGTATTGCAACTTGAGGCTTGACTTTTTTCTTCAGTTCTTTTAGCTTGAGAAATGCCAAGTGTGTTCTTCCCCTTTGATTTTCCATCTCTAGGTCTTTGCACATTTCATTAAAACACTTTACTTTGTCTTCTTGAGCTGCCTTTTGAAATCTTCTATTAGCTCTTTTATGCCATCATTTCTTTCATTTGCTTTAGCTATTCTCTGTTTAAGAAGTTTCAGAGTCTCTTCTGGCATTCATTTTGGTCTTCTCTTCCTTTCCTGTCTTTTTAACGACCTTTTGCTGCCTTCATGTATGATGTCCTTGGTGTCATCCCAGGATCATCTGGTCTTTGGTCATTGGTATTCATTGCATCAGATCTGTTCTTCAGATGGTATCTAAATTCAGGTGGGATATACTCAAGGTCATATTTTTGCTCTCATGAACTTGTTTTAATTTTACTCAGTTTCAGTTTAAACTTTCATGTGAGCAACTACGGATCTGTTCCACAGTGGGCCCCTGGCCTTGTTCTGACTAATAATATTGAGCTTTTCCAGTCTTTTTTCATAGATGTTGATTTTATCTCTATGTATTCCACCTTGTGAGGTCCACATATATAGTCACCATTTATGTTGTTGAAAAAGGTATTTTCAACCAGTAAGTCGTTGTTGTTGTTATATGCTGTCGAGTTGGCCCCGACTCATAGCGACCCCTCCTTGGGTTTCCAAGGCAGTATCACTGCGAAGTAGATTGC